CCGAGCATCCAACATCCCGCTGTTAGAGCCAAGGTAAAGAGCCCACGTTGCCCCTATTAGGAATTTATGTGGTGAAAGACAGCTGGGAGGCCACTCTGGATTTGGATCCTGCTTCATTCCCCCTCGGAGCATCCCTGGGAGCCCACAGAGGGTAACATCAGCGCGTCACCCAGCCAGCCGTGTGCGCCATGGCCCGGGGAACCTGCTCCGTGTCTCTTCTCATTACATCTTCAAAAAGAAGGGAGTTATTTTTAAGACAAAAAGCAAAGAATAAGGACTGCCCCTTTGCTCTTTCAGTCCCAAGAACTCAGAGCTTGTCCTCGGGGGACTTGTGTTATGCTGTGTTGACGCAACAGGACAAGCCTTGTAAAACTCTCTCCCATCTGTTGCAGCAAAACTTACTTTTTTATATAGAGAGGCTTTAGTTTCAGAGTTGTATCACTGAAGGGAAAGTGATACAGAACTGACCAAGCATAGCAAGAATACATGAGCCAAAAAAAAAAAGCTTTCTACTCCCAAACACAAGGATTCCCCTCTCTGCCTCACGCCCAAAGAAGTCCATCACTATTATCCAACACACATCCCAGCCAAACAGCCAAGTCAGCTCCGTGAAGATAATCTGTGCTAAGGATTCAACACAGTGTTTATTAAGCTAACGGGACGAATAGCAAAGTGTTCTTGCAGTTTAAGGTGGCAGCACACCTGTACTTAGTCACGTTTCCAATGTAAGCACACCCTTGGAGGCAGGAACAGGACAGCAAGGGATAGCAGGGATGTTGTCAGCTGCAGCAGGCAAACAAGTACTGAGCCCCCTCGATTTTGGGGGCAGCTTCCTATGAGAAACAGCAGCAAAGAAACTCAAATCCTGCTTCAAGATGACAGCCCAATATACAGATGCTCATTTCAGAAGAGCCCCTTTAGCTGGGAGTGCCCTAGTTTGAAACAAACGAATTCAAAACCAAAAAGATCCAGAGCTGGGGAAAACCCAGTGCTCTTCTTGTGCACCAGGAGCCCCGTTTTGGAGCCAGCTGTCACACCCCTCATTCTCCAGGACCCAGCACATCCATCCTGCACCAGACAAGGTCAAACTCTGCCCAAATCGATGGGTTGAAAAAGAAAAGGAGGAGACTTCTACCTTGAACTAAACTCCCTTTTGTCAGCACATGCTGCCCATCTCCCCTACCTCCCCAAAATCCACGCTGGTCAGTGCAAGGGCAGGTGACGTGCCCGAGGTGCACATGAACACTCCCCGAGCCCCAGACAGGGAAGCTGTTGGGAAAAACAAGGTCACCAGCCAGAGAAAAGTTTTGAGCGTCTCCCAAACCTGCTAAAAAAACGCTCTCCGAGGTTTGCTCAGCCGAGTTTCGCCTCCTGCCTCCCCAAAAGCAACAGCCTTTGCTGCAACCCGGCCTTTCCAGCACCGAGATGGGTGTCAGAGGCGCAAGAGGCGGAAAGCAGCGGGTCCATCCCCAGCGCTGGGTCGGGCTGGGATAACCGGCGGGGATGAGGAGCAGCAGGAGGTTCAGAGCTGATGGAGATTCCCAGTGCGAATCCCCCGCGGGCAAAGGTGTCGGCAGCAGATGCCCTGGGAAGGCGGGAGGATGCCAGAAGCTTCTCCAGCCGCTCAGGAGGCGCCTGAGGAGCGACGGGGGGAGGGAGAAAGAAACTTGAAAAGAGAGGGAACTTACTCCGTGATCTTCTTCGCCAGCTCGGTGGAGGCTGCCGTGGAGTTGGCCGAGAAGACCCGGTAGCCACTTCTGGCCGCGTTCATCGCCAGAGAGTCATGCAACCCCCGCGGAGCTCGAAAGTGGGAAAAAACAGATTTATAAGGCAACAACAGCTTCCGTGGCATCCTTTTCTTCCTCTCCGCCGCGATCGCCGCCCCTTAAGGGGTGGGAAGGAGGAGGAGGAAAGGGAGGGGGAGCCCTTCCCGCTACCTATGGACTTGCTGCTGCGCTCCTATGCAAAGGGAGGGTAGCAATTATGAATATTACAATAAAACGGAGCAGCAGATGCCTTGGTGGGGCGGGGGGCTTGGAGGGGTGGGCAGGCAGCAGGTAACCGCAACCCACACCCACCCCCTGCCCACCCAGTGTCCCCTCACGCACCGGGGAAGGGGCGACCCCCAAAATGAGCGAGGGTAATAAGGCGGAGAGGGGTTGCCTTGGCTGGGGGAGGTGGGGCGAGCTGAGGGGACACAGGGGGTTTGTGTGTGAGGCAGCAGGGCTGGACAGGGGTCTCTGTGGTGGGATAGGGGGGTCACTGGGAGGCGGGGGAATCCTTGGAGCGCACGGTCCCCTCCCGCTCCCCTCACCCAGCGCAGCGAGTTCCGCCACACGGCCAGAGCGCCGCTCCCCTCCGCCGCCATCTTATCGGGGGGAGAGCCCGCCCCCGCCGCCATCTTAGGTGAGGGCACCGCAGCCGCACTCCCCCCTTACAGCGTCCACTCACCTACTGCCCCAGCAGCGCCGGTACCTCGGGAGGAGAACGGCGGGAGCTCCCTCTTCGGGGGACAAATACACCTCCCGCTCCGCGAGGGCGGTTCGCAGCGCGGCCGCCTCGCGCTTCTGCGCGGCGGCGCGGGACACGGGTTGAAGGCGGGGGTTAAAGTGCCCGTGCCTAAGATGGCGGCGGGGGAAACGGAAGCGGGGCGGCGGCGCTCTGGCCGCGCTCTATGGCGGGCGCGGCGGGAGGACCCGCCCGCCCCGCCGGCTCCAGCCCCCGTCCTGCACCGCTTCCCAAGGGAACACTCCCTATCAGGCTCTCCCATGGCCTCTGGGGAATAGGGACAAAGTCCCTCTCAAGTCCAGGGACTAAACGGCTTAGCTAAGCAGAAAAGTTCAGCTCCAACCCGTCCGGCAGAGCACTGTGCTGACCTTTCCAGGCACTAAGAGCATGCTTATAAATATAAATACAACAATATGTATTCTATATAAAAAATATGTATTATATATGTATATAATATGTATATCATATGTTATATATGTATATAATATTTATGTATAGGAAGGAGGTGAAACTTGGCTGAACAAATATATATATTATATATTTTTATTTATATATATATATATATATATATATATATTATATGTATCTCAGCCTCGGGAGCTGGGACAGTGAATGGAAGTGACACCACCATGAGGATCCATCCCCCTATGGTCAGGATGACTCAGAGCACCTGACAAAGCAGCAGAAATGAGGATATCTCACAGAAATTATACATTGCAGGGAAGGCAAACAGCATTAATTTCACCACCAGCACTGCCCCCCTCGCTGGGTTCCCCATGGAGGGGAGAGGTTTTTCCTGGCAGTTTCCTAAGTTGCTGTGCAAAATCATCATCTCTTGGCCTGTGTCCTTACAGCTGGGAGTGGGGAAGGAGGAGGAAGCCTGGTGGGCTTCATTCAGGCCACGGAGGATGGACATTCCATGACTCAGTGGCTCCCCGGGCTGCTCTGGCGCGTGGGGCTGGGTGTGTGACGGCAGCAGTGCCTCTGGCAACCACTCCCTGTCACAAACATTTCATGCTCAGCTGGGAGCTGCAGCATTGCCATCGTTCCCCTTCCGCTGAACACTTCATTAAATGTTGTCCCTCTCCAGCGTCCTCCGTGCAAACGAGACGGAATTGCCTGTGTCCCCTCCATATGGCACCGCTGCGCTGCCCAAGCACCAGGATGGAAAGTTTCATCTCCCTTCACCACACCTGGTGACATGTCACCTGTCCCTGTGGTGTTTCCATCCCCACATCTCCCTCCTCCCATGTCCCCTGCGGGTCCTTCATGCCTGGGCAGAGCAGGGGCTATTCCAGCTCGACTCCCACATCCCAGCTTGTCCCCAAGACAAGGCGAGAGCTGACAGCATCAGCTGCCCGAGTTCACTCTGAGGAGGCAGCACAGCCAGGCGTGGGGCTCTGATCGGGCCTTCGGGCTGGAATAATCCTGGGATGAATCTGCAGCATCCATCTGCCAGGCACCCCAGATCTCCCCCCGTGGGCACCCCAGGCAAGGCTCCCCCCCGGCCCCACACACAGAGGTGTGTTATCAGCACCTGCTCACAACAGTCACAGCACCCTCGCTACAGCCCCAACCTCCTCCCGGGCGGCTGGCTTTGTCCCTCAAAAGGAGCCAAGGAAAAAAATCTGGGGGGAGCCAGACTGTTTCTGTGAGGTAACAGGTTGGCTGCTTCCCTCCTGCACCCACTGGAGAAATGGCAGCTCCCATGGGAGCAGGGACATTCTCCTGCAGGGACACTCAAACAGGAGGGAACAAGGCTGGGAAGGAACCCTGGCACTGCAGGGGCCATGTTAAATCACCTCTACAGAACACACAACCCCCCGAAAGACCTCCTCCCGCCCTTCTCTTTTAAAGCCCTTCCCTCCTGGCTACCTGGAATCAGGTGTGTGGAGAAGGAAGGGCTGTTTAACCCCTTCCCAGCTGGATCCTCGCTCGGCAGCCTCAGCTCAGGGATGATGCTGTGGCCTCTGAGTGCCCTCAGCCTCTGCTTTGCCCTTCAGGTCCCTGAGCACCCTCCTCCTGCCCTCCTCCTGCCCTCCTGCCCTGTGGGGTGCTCAGAGCCCTCCCGGCCACTGGGGTGGATCCCGCTGGCATTGTCACTTCCCTGTGCTCTTTCCCAGCTGCTGAGGCTGAGATGCAACAAGTTTGTTTGTTCTGCTGCAGGGCAGCCCCCGGCACAGCAAGACACACCTTGGAGGGGCTTGGTGTCCCAAAATCATCCCGCCCTGTGTTCCTGAGATTCCCCCTTGGTGAATCAGCAGCTTCATCCCCGCGGGGGGGAAGGCCCAGCAGAGCCTGGGGGTCCCACCAGGATGGCTGTTGGAGGTGCAGGGTTGGGATCAGCCCCTGAGGAGCCCGGGCAAGGGTGGCGGGCAGAGATCACGCTGTTATCACTGCCACAACCAGCCTTTCTCCTGGAAAAGGGAACAACTCTGATTTCTCTGCGGGCTGAAGGTCACGCTCGGTTTTACAGCCAGGCAAAGGAGAAGAAAGGAGCAATTCTGTTTACTTAGGGAGTAATTAATATCCCAGCTCCTGGCATGTACAGAGGCAGCAGGAACCTCCCCCACAGCGCGGTGGAGAGCGAGGCTGTGCAGCCCTTTATTATTCCATTATGAGCTGGGCAGGATTAGGAGGGCGGGTCAGGGAACAGCGCCGGCTTTGAGCAGGTTTAGCTCCTTTCCAAAGGCTTATCCCGGCTCAGTCTCACTCTCTGGACACCACGCAGTTATTCTCTGCACAAGAGGGGCTTGAGCAATGCTGGAAGGGGAGAGTGGGCAGGGGGTCATGGAGCTTTAATAGCCCAGCAGGGAAAACCTGGGAGGTTCCTTTACCAGAACTCGGTTTATATGTTGAATTTCAGCAACCAGGGAGGGCAGTTCCTCAGCTCTGCCAAGTCCTGCATTGCTCCCCAGGGAAAGCCAGGCCTCGGCGCTGCTCTGGGGCAGTTCCGTGGGGTGGGACGGCCATTGCAGGCAGTTTCCTGCAGAGCCGGATGAGGTTTTGCTCTTTATTCTTAACCGAGTTTCTCCCTGGAGCCCGGGTGGGGTGGCCGGAGCGTGCCTGGCAAGGAAAGAGGAGCCGTGGGAACTGAGGCAGCAAATCCCTCTCCTTCTTTCCCAGGCCAGAAGTTGGGGGCTGCGGTGGGATGCTGTGCCCCTCATAAGTAATTCCACGCTGGGAATGCTGCCCACAGGCATCCAGCCTCGTAGCAGGGATCACCCCTGGATGGGGATCAAGCCTCTCAGGCCAGCCCCAGCCAGGTGGTTCTCATCGGCAGCCTCTGACTCACCTCTCAAAAATTCCTGTACTCCCATCATGGCAGGAAACCGCTACAGGGAAGTGGTGAAAGCCCTTTGAGGGCCTGAAATTCGGCTTCCCCCAGCCGAGGGGGAGATCAAACAGCCGACTTTGGCCTCAATCCCTCTGACGCCAGGGTTTGTCATCGGAGGGGGGGGTGTCTCGGCTGAGCAAGCGGGGTGTGTGGTTCCTCCAGACTCAGCAGCTTTTTGCTGGGTGTTTGGGAGTGTTTTCCCCGAGGAGGCCTGAGCTCAGAAATATTTTTGAGCAAATAATCAGCTGGGAGGAATGATCTCAGCTCGTCGGCATTGTTCAGGCTTCCCGGTGAGCCCTGCGGTCCCGGGCTGTGCCGGCAGCTGTGGAGAGCTCGGCAGAGGGTCAGGGCTGGGGAGCAGCCGCCCAGCAGGTTGCAGAGCCTGGCTGAGATTTAGGAGCTTCCAGAAAACCCCCAGCTCCTTGGAGACTGGGAATCCTCCAGGGCCAAGCCTTGGGCCCTGAGTGAAGCTGGATTGTGGGGGATACCTGCTGCTCCTGGGTCATGGAGACAGGGAGAGGGTGCAGCCGCTTGCCCAAGTTCTACAGCAAATCAGTGGCAGAGCCCAGACCTGTGTCCCAGCTCAGGTGGGATGTGATCCCAGTCACCCTCCTGCAGGAGATACCTCTGTTAGTCCTGTCCCCTCCTGCTCCGTGCTGGTCCCCTGTGTCAGCACCAACCCCAGGGCCAGAGGGGCTGAGCTGCAGTCCCTGGGCTGGCTCTGCACAGAAACGGCTCCGTCTCCGCACCGGCCGCTCCTGCAGGCGCTGCCTGGAAAGTTCCCACTGCTGCAGTCGGTGCCTGTCCCCCTGCCAAGCCTGCAGCCCTGCCAGCCGCGATGCAGCCCCGAGCCGCGCTATTTATGGCTCCACCTTGAGACGTGTACCTTCAGTGGTGGGAACGATGCTAAAAGGGATGGATCCGGGATGAGTGCATCTCCCTCCCGTCCCTGGGTGGCTGCCGGCGGATGTGGCAGAGCAGGCAGGGATCTGGAGGAGCTGCGTGTCTCAAAGGGAAACGCTGCAGCTCATCTTGCAGCAGAGCCATGTCCTCTGCACAACTCCTCCGGGGCTGCGATGAAGGCAGTGGGATCCCAAAATCCAGGCCTGCCCTGACACCGACTGTTCCAGGTCCATGCTGCAGCTCCCGGATTTCATCAGCAGGGGCATGAAGGGTTACAGCAGGGCTGGAAAGCCCCCAGCCTCTGTGCTTTCTTCCCCCAGCATAAGCTCCCTGTGGGGTCTAGCTCCTCTAGCAGCTGGGGGCAGAAGCAGAGGAGTCTGGGGAGGGTTAATTGCCATATTTAACCCTTGGCTTCTTGCACAACTCAAGACAAACCTTGTCCGCTGCTTCTGCCTCGGTATCCCCAGACTCAGAGCATCCACCACCTTCTCCAGCAAGCCAAAGGCACGGTGCTTCAAACACACAAGCCTTCTCTCCCAGATGATGTCTGTGGGGCCTGGGATACCCCACAGGCCCTCCCAGTGATCTCGGTGGTCACGGCTGGGCTGGGCACGCTGCTCCGTGGGCAATGAGGAAGGAGGTGGGGGGATTCTCCACCAGCTGTCTCCGCTGGCTCCGGCTCCGTGCTGCATCCCCACACTCCGTGCTGCATCCCCACACTCCGTGCTGCATCCCCACGGCACATCCCAGCGCTCCCGCCCACGCACACGGCCTGTGCCGCCGCCCAGGCGGGAATGGAGTCGATCAGGACAAACCTGACCGGCAGACACCTGCCCATGGCGCAGGAGCCCTGGCTGCTGAGCACCCCTCGGGCTGACGTTGGGGTCGAGGGAGCTCGTTAAGGCTCCCATAATTACCACAGCCCCCAACTGGTTGCCAGCACTAAGTGGGGAAGGAGCCGATCCCATTTCCACATTAGACAGCACATCTGAAGGCAAACAAGTGGTGTCCATGTGGGACAGGGGCGGATCAGCCTGTGGCTGCAGGGAGCAAAGGGACCTGCCTGGGGCTGATGGTGGCCACAGGGCTGGCCATGGCATGGAGTGGGTGTCCAAAAGTGGCACAGCATCGAGATGGGCTTGTCCCCACAGACCAGCACTAAGATGAATAAGCTGTGCCTGGGTGTCCCCTGCCATCACAGAGGCTGACTTTATGCTGGTCCCATGCCCCACTGAGAAAAACCTGGCTGCAGTCCCCTCATTTCCCTGCCCTTGGCATCCCTGCCATGGGCAGCCCTTCCCTAACCCTTCCTGCCCCCTTTGCCATCCTCGACACCTCATGATGAAGCCACTCTCAGCCCCTTTGCCCACAGCATGACCGTGGCCAGCAGAGCCTGGATGGGCATTCCACTGCTATTCCAAGTGCAGGCAGGCAGGGCAAAGGGGGATTCCTGCCACACGGGGCCATGGACGGATGTAGTGCGGTGAGGACAGAGCCCAAAGCAGCCTCATCGCCCCGTGGCACCTGCCAGGAGCAGTGTGACAGCTGCTCCCACATCCTCCCAAAGTGACTCGTGCCTTCCTGAGCGGAAATTGGGAGCGGGTTAGTCACCAAGAAGGGTGAGGGGCAGGTCAGGACGCTGCACTCTCCGGCATCCAGCTATTTCCTCCCATGACACCTTGCTGAGGAACCTCAGGGCTGTTTACAAACGCTGGACTGTGTCATGGCAGAGGCCAGGAAAGTGGCCGTGCCTGAATCTCACCCAGAATCAGCTGTGAGTGCTGCGGTTCCAGAGCCAAAAGCATCAGGGCTGGGAGCAGGCTTTGCCCCATCTGCCCCTCTGAGCATCCCTTTGTACCCACAGAACCCAGAGAAGTCTTTCTGGAAAGCGCAGTGCTCCAAAGCATGGGACCTGGACTCTCCTCTTAGGTCACTGTGGGAAAACAAGACTCAACAGCGTTATCTGCCCAGCTGATCATCCCATGCCCTCCCTGCAATGTTTTGGCCAGTTCCAGTGGGTATAAGCAAGGACAGAGGGCTGAGGGCTTTCTGCTAATTAAACTGCCCTAAGTGTGAAGAGCGATGCCCCCCTGAGGTGCAAGCTCAAGGTTAAGGCAGAGCTGCATCCACGGGGAATTGGTTGGCAAAAAAATAATCCTTGTTGGGCTGGGCCAGACCCCCTGGAGCCTGACAGTCCCTTGGGAGGGTGAGGTCAGTTCTATCGCCAGCAAAAGCTGCTGTAAGTGATTTTTGCCAGCTGCCACCGGGCACGGAGCAGCTCGCAGCCATGCTGGCACCCTCCAGGCAGGTCCCCTAGGCTCTGTCTCTAGCGCTCTGTGCCCCCAGGTGGGGTTCAAAGCACAGCCCACCTCCCTCCACGGGGCTCCGTGGCCATGGCACCCTCCAACCCTCACGGATACCTGATGGCGAGCCACCAGTCACAGGCAGGACATTGTTCCACTCCATCCTCCCTCCTGGAGGTGTCCCCCGCCGGCTGCCCGCTGTCCTCAGCCCTTGCCGTGCCTCGATTTCTCCAGGCCCCCACTCTGCTCCTCTCTCCCTGTGCCGACTGGAGAGATGCAGAAATGGTGTTGAACGCCGTTCGGCCCAGCGTGGGGGCTCGAGGGACCTCCGCCAGCGCCCATCTGTGCCTGGCTAGGAGCGATGTGCAGGAACCGGGGCTGCGGTGGCTGCCCGGTGCCGCTTTGCCGATGCTCTCCCGGCGTGACCGTGGGCCGGTTCCCTGCCCGCCCCAGCACCCGCGGGAGCACCCACGCCAGACACCCGCCCCGGCAGCGCAGACCCACCCGCGGCAAACCCGCGGCGTCGCTTTGCCCCCGCCCGTCTGCAGAGCCGGTTCCCCCCGGAGCCCTGCCCGGAGCGCGGGGCGGCGCTTGGGGAAACTGAGGCAGCTGCCGGGGGGGTGCGGGGGGTGCCGGAGCAGCCCCGGGACGGGCCCCCTCCCCCGGCGGGGGAAGGGGTGGCCGGGGGGGTGGGTGGGTTAAATTTTTATGAATGGGGCCGCCCCGCCTGCCATCGCCGGGCGTCAGCAGCGAGCGGCGGCGGGCGGCGCTCCCCGGTGCCTCCCGCTCCGCTCCGCGCCCGCTCCGCCGATGGCCGCCGGCCGCCGCGCTCCCCCGGAGCCCGGCGGGGGCCCGGTGCTCCTCCAAGGCATCTTCGGCGCGGGGCCGGCCCCCGGTGCCGCCGCCTGCTCGCTGTCGCTGACGGCCCGGGAGCTGCAGGTGCGGCGCCCCGGCGGCTCCCCGGGCGGCTCGGCCGGTCCCGACGCCGCGCTCCGCCTGGCCGACTGCGTGGGCTCGGCCGCCTTCCCCGCGGCCGCGGCCGCCGCCTGCTTCTCGCTCGTGTGTTACCCGCTGCGGGGGCCGCGCTGGGGGCCGCCCGCCCGCCAGCGCCTGGAGCGGACCTTCCGCGTCTCCCGGGGGCCCGACGCCGAGGGCAACCTGCGCATCGCCCAGGCCTGGAGCCGCCGCATCCGAGAGCTCGCCGTGCCCGCCGTGCCCGCGCAGGACGGTGAGTGCCGAGCCGACCCCCCTGGGACCCCCTCCCCGCGCCCCTGGGGCTCGCCCCGTCGGGGCTGTGCGGGGGTCGGGGCCGCTCCGCCGCCCGGCCCCACGCGGGACGGCTGCTGCCGAGCCGGGAGCGCTGCGCGGTGTCGGGTTCCACGGGGGGACACGCACGGGGTCACCCGGACCCCCCCCGCCCCGAGCTTGGAGGGGACGGGGACATCCCCCCGCGCAGCCCCGCGCCGGGGGTGGGGTCTCCCCCCTTTCACCCTCAGTTTCGAGGGGCATCAGGGACGTGGTCGCACCACAGGGGCCCTTTGCACGCAAACACCCCCCCTCCATCGCTCCCGTTCGATAACTCTAAAGCTCCAAAGGGCAGCATGATCCAAGGAAAAAAAGTAATCATTGCTGACGCAGGCAGGACGGGAGCCAGGCACTGTCCCCTGTCCCCAGCAGGTCCCATCCATCACTTGGGATTTGGGGACAGGCAAACGCTCCCCGGGACCCCCCGGGGCCCAGCGGGGTCCCAGGGCAGCCCGGAGGGGTCTGGATTTCTGATCCCTCTCCCCCCGGGAGTTGCCACCGTCTGGAAGGGGAGGGTCCGGCTCGGGGGCCGCATCCCCCAGCTCCCGCAGGCAGGGCAGGGCGCGCTGGCAGATAGTTGAACATCTGAGCAGAGATTCAATTATATGCACTACTTCATTTATTTGGCTGTCCAGTCGCTCTGATCAGACTTGGAAATTAAGAGGCATGCGGTTAGAGGGATCCTGTCAAATCACATTTAGCCCAGCTCTTCCCTGCTTGGATTTTAAAATGCAGCTTTTTTTTTTTACGTGACCTGCAGCTACAAAACAACTTTCTGCTCCTCTTCCTTAAGAATAACAACAAAAAAAAAAAAAAATCAGGTGGAATGGGGTGAGGGCAAAACCAGTTCCCCAGCTCTGTATCCAGCCTGAACTCTGCAGCTGGAAGTCTCGGAGCGCTTTCCAACCCTCGCCCTGTGAGCAGGCGGTGCGAGGGTGCTGGGGCAGGAGGCAGCTCGTGGCACGCGGGGGCCCCCGGGGAGCCTGAGGAAGGAGGACGGGAGAAGGCGGTGCGGAATTTTGCAGTTATTTTTCTCACTGAGGGCCGGCAGGATTTGCAAACCTCCTCCCTCAGTTTTGGGACAGGGCTAAAAGTGCCCCTTGCCCACACCCTGCGCTCGCACGTGCCGGCGGGGAGGCCTGTGCGGGCAGATAAGGCCGTGCTGGGGAGGCTGTGTGCGAGTCCGTGCGGAGCAATCCTGCCACCCTGTCCCCACCGGGAGGGGACCTGGGAGCCACTAGTGATCCTGTCCTGGTGTCATCTCAGCTCCGGCATCCTCTGGGATAAAAGCCCTGCGGAATGCTACAGCAAGGATGAAGCTTCCCCCTTCTTATTTCACCCCAAAGGATAAACAAAAAGTCTCTCTGCGGTTGATAACCCCAAAGCTGGGGCTGCCCGTGGAGGGCAGGGATGTGTCCCAAATTGCAGCCATCTGGGAGGGAAGAAAACTGCCACCAGGCTTGTGTCCTGACAGGGAAATCCAGCCCCAGGGACGCAGTGGAGTGGCTGGGGCTGCAGACGGCGAGGTTGTGGCAGTGTGGTCCCGGCCTGAGTGTGCCAGGACACATGTGACATGGGGGGATGTGGGCAGAGGGACTGGAGCAGAGTTTGTGGACTGCCAGCAGCCAGAGCCCCTTCCTCCTGCTGACTCAGTGTCTGCTCTGCTCAGCATTTGAGGCTGAAAGCGACCGCAGTGTGCCGGGAAGTGGCTCAGCCTTGCTGGGATGCCAGGGACTGGCCGGAGTTGCGCAATGGGAAGGGATGCTCTGAAATCTGTGTTCCCTCCGAGCATCGCCGCTGCTGGGCTCCAGCTCTGACCCAGCACCTTCCAGTCCCGCCGTGGGGCTAAGCCTGGTGCTGCTGGTATCACTGGTCCCTCACTGGGATCACGTCCTGTCGCTATTCACACCCTGATACCAGCAGTTTGCCCCTTTTGATGCAGTCATGGCATCCTTCTGTGCCCTCCAGGCAAGGATTGGGTCCTTGTGGTCCCAGCCATACCCCACTGCCCAGAGGTGGCCACGGGGCAACAGCCACAGGTCCAGGCAGGATTTTCAGGCGAGACCTGACCGCAGCTCCATGTGCGTGTCAGAAACGATGTGCCTGGTTAACAGTGGAGGGTTAAAAACTGCTTTTATGTTCTTGAAGCGCCTCCTGCTCTTATTCTGCATCTTCCAAGGTTGGAGGGGGAGAAAGAAAGAGAAAAGCCCCCCATCACCTTCCTCCAGCAGCTGGGGTTTGAGCCCAAACCCCTGCCTAGGGGCTCGTTCATATTTGCCATAGGGGATTTAGTGGCTGTGAGGGCCAGGGAAACTCCAGAGGGGAGGGAGCAGGGCAAGCCCAGCCCCGGGGTTACTGCCTGTTATCCCTGACCCGAGTTGGAGTGGCCTCTGCTCCGGGTGCTTCACTGCTGTCCCCGGGGGAAGCCATTCCCCTCTTGTCTGGCACCCACTGATAAGGGGCCGGGAGTGGCAGCTGGGAGCCAGCCTGGAGCCAGCACCCAGAGCCAGGCTCAGCCCCACTGATGGGGATTTCACACGCAGATCTTGCCTGTGGACTTGGTGGCAGGTCCCAAACAGGTGTCAAGGGGACAAGGAGCTGTGCTGGAGGGTGACAGCCTCAGCCCCCATCCACGGGGGCAGGAAGTAATCCTGATGGCACTGAAATCAGCAGAGCTCTGTGTGCTCCCAGAGCTGGGATGGGCAAGGAGGTGGGATGCTCCAGTCATATGGAGCTCGTGGCCATGACTGATGTGATACTGGGTGTCACCCAGGGGAGGTGACACGTGGTGACCTCCATCACCCAGGCTCACCTCTCCCCACCACCATCCCCAGAGTGGGCAGCAGGAGGGGGTTTTAGCTCTAAAACCCCAGCTGGTGTGTTCAAACAGCTCAGACCACCCCAGATGAGGCGGGGGCAGGCAGACACCCCCAGCCCCCTCGAGTGCCTAGAGGGGGTTCCAAGCCCAGGACAGTGCTGGCAAATGCCTCTGCTGTCCTGACTCAGCAGCTCTTCCTGCTGAGTCAGCAGACGCAGCCCTCATGCTGTCCCACAGAGCCCGTGTGCTGGGGTGGGCACCCACCACCCCCCTGGGGCCACGGCTTAGGGGGCCCAGAGCTGGTGGGGACACCCCCAAACTCCCCCAAACCAGCTTCACCTTGCAGAGCCAGGGATTTCCAGAGGCACTGAGGGAGCCTGAGTCGCACTGCCCTGCTCACTTCAGGGCTTGGGGTGCCCCAGCAGCACCCGGGGGTCCTGCCCTCCTCGTCCTCCCTGTGCTTCCCTCACAGGGCAGCTCAGTGGGCTCTCCCTGTCCCCCTGCACGGGGACCACTGGGCTTGGGGAAGGTGATGCTGGAAGCAAGCGGGGCGGGGGGGGGGCAGAAGAATGGGACCCCTGCCAGGCTTGTAATTACAGCCCGACTGAGGCCCTCGCAGGCGAAACCTGAGCCCCGTGGGGAGCAGGGGAGGCAGAAGCGTCTGTCTGCCGGCTCAGCTGGCTGTCCTGGCCCCTCTCCTTCTGGGGGGATGTGGGGAATTGGAGCCCTTGTCCTCCTACTGGAATGGCTGGGGTGCTGCGAGGCCCCATCCTGGGTGTAAAAGATCCCTGCTGATTGTGGGGGAGCTCAAGGTGAGCCCCTGCAGGCCCCCAGGTCCCACCTCTGCTGCTTCCTCAGCATTCCCTGCAGGGACCCTCCATCCCTGCTCACCCCTCATTGCCTCTGGGTAGGGATGCCGCCCAGGGAGCTTGTAGGGATCAGGGAGGGGCAGCTCCCCTTCCTGCAGGGTTTTGGCAAACGCTGCTCTGGATGGCAAAGCCCTCCCTGGGCAGTGCCATGACCCAGCAGCCAGAGCTCCCTCTCCCCCCTGCAGGTGACAGCTATGGGGTGCTGCCCCGGCCCTGCCGTGCTCTGGTGCTGCTGAACCCGCAGAGCGGCTCCGGCCGCGCCCTCGACGACTTCCAGGCTGTGGTGCAGCCCATGCTGGCCGAGGCTGAGATTGCCACCACCATCTTCATCACCGGTGAGTCTGCCAGCAGCTCCCTCCTCTTCCTCCTCCTCCTCCTCCTCCTCCTCCCTTCCCTGTGATCTTTCCTGGGCTCCTCCAATGGCCTCGTTCCTCCTGCATCACCACAGCTCTGGGTCCTGTGGGTTGGTTGTGCTCAAGAGGGGTGAGAGCCTCGCCTCCTGAACCCCTGGCTGGGGTCACCATCTGGGGGGTGGCAGCAGGCAGACAGAGGGTGATCTCGAATCTCTCCACTTTCCCTGCAGAAAGACCCCACCACGCACACGAGAAGGTGCGGGATGAGGACCTGTCGCAGTGGGACACGCTGGTGGTCATGTCCGGGGACGGGCTGCTGTATGAGGTGAGGGGCACCTTGGGGCGTCTGGGCTGGGCAGAGAGCCAGGAGAAGGGGGTGCCTGGGGCAGGAGCCAACCTCTGGTACGAGAAAGGCAGGCAGGGAATGGCAAAGGAGAGATGGCACCAGGATTGGAGCAAAGCAGCCATGGCCTTCGGCCTGGCCTGTCCTGGGACACCGTGAACTCTTTCCCCCTCAGCTGGGCAGGGGCCGCTGGATTCCTTGGGTGCCACAAACTCCTTCATCCCTGCAGGTGGTGAACGGGCTCATGGAGCGTCCAGACTGGAAGGACACCATGAAGAAGCCGCTGTGCATCCTGCCAGGAGGCTCTGGGAATGCCCTGGCCGCCTCCATCAACTACTATGCAGGGTGAGTCCTGGCCCCGTGGGGCACCTGCTGTCTGCACTGCTGTCTGCACTGCTGTCTGAGCACACAGGGCTGTGCTGGCACCAGGTGGGGGAAGAGAAAGGCCATGCAGGGCTCTGG